GAACGGGCATAGCCTGCTTTGTAGCAAGTCGCCGAATCCTACTCAGTGCTGAATCATACAGTGGCCCTATGCACATAAATGCCATCCTCTTCTGCACACAGATAGCAATATCCATAAAGTGATCTGACTTCAACACTTTCAAGGTTGCTTCTATGTATTTTTCCACTTTGTCATCAAGGATAGCCTGCATTGGTTCAAATAATCATACCCTTGGAAGATGGTACTGCTTTGTGTACAAGGCTAAAATGGTGCCCTTCATGTGGCAAGATGAGACTTTCTTTCAATGTTTAACTAAAAAATGGTACAAAAAATTCAAACCAAAAAGCTGTCAACGTGCATCTTAACACTGTCACCTTAAAATTACGGAGTTTCAGTGCTTTTAATCTTTTTTTCCATTTTTTTTCCCTCTTGCATCTAGATTCCTCTGAAATCAGAGGCAAAACAGATGTTCATTTTAAAGAAATCCAGGTGAAACAAGCTGACAGATCCCCTGTTGAGATGGGATGATGTTTGACACCTCCAGCAGACCACTGAAAGAATAAGCTGAACCTGAGGCAAAATCCCAGTGAGTGGAACTTTAAAACACAAACCCTGTTCTGATTAGGGTGGTGGTGATTGCTTCAGCAGCAAGGAGAGACTGAAGTTTACCGTGTGTTAAATACAAAGTGATTCCATTCTAAACGAAATAAATTAAAAACTTAATGTCATTAATTGTCACACTTTAAAATAATACTTTTGCTTAATATTTGTAATCTCTGCAATATTGTAATTTCTGTTTGTATAACAATGCTGTCTAACTTCCTCTTCAGCTTCATTTCTTAATAGAGTTGTTTTACTATTTTAAGTAATCAGTGAAATTTTTAGTTAACCTGAGTCATGCCCTCATATCTTGACCTATTGCACAAGTGTACATCAGGTCTTCACAAGTCCTTTTCAAGATTACTAAAAAAATAAAAGTTGATTTTTTTTTTTTTTCTACCTACAGCAAAGATGATCCTGGACTTCATTTCATTCCTACATAATTATATAAGCTTTAAATTTAAAATAATTCACACCTTTCAAAAAAAAAAAAATCTAGTCCTGGTAATTTTGTTTTCTGGGTGAAGAATGAAGGTAATTTCTTGCATTAGTGTCATCTTAAACTGTTGTAATTCTGTATTTAATAATTTTACCCAACAAACGTTTTTCTTCAACAACACTGGTTTAAAGTGCCATATAAAATTTTAAAAGAAGTCTTCCAAATGGGAAGAGTTCACAGCATGATGTATTTTTTGTATTAGAAGCTAGCTAGGAAAGTGTTCTGCTCTGAGGATGTCACATTTGATTATAGCCTGTGAAGCTTGAAAGCGTGTCATTAATGTTGGTCAGATTCTTTCAACAGAACACCACATTTGATTTTTTTAGGGCTAACTGTTAAACGCTTATCTCAGGTACACTGAGATTTATAGTAATTTAAAAGCATTAGCTAGATTGCTTGATAACTTTCTTCAGTAAAACAGAAATACTGACTTTCACAGAAGAGTCAAACAATCATTTGAAGACAAAGGATTCTTTAATGTTAAAGAGAAATAACTATATTTGACTAGCTGTGCCAGACAATGAAATCACATATTAGCAATCTGAAATTATAGTTGAAAATGATGCATTTATGTTTCGACAGTTGCAACCACAGTTTTAACAGTAGACACAACAATTTTTTTGTGTGTGTTTCCCTCACTCACCACATGAGGTAAAACTACCTTAAAGAAAATGCAACTTCTTTTTTTCCCACAATGACTGCTACCTGACAGATTCCTAATATAAAAAAAGTGCCCTTTGACTTAATTTTCACATTTCAACAAGGAAAAAAATACGAATCATCGCTCTAAAGAGGGAGTAGACTTGTCTCAGATTCCACGTTAAGGCACAACTCCACAAATTGATGCAGTTGTACTACATGCTGTAAGATGTTCAGACTGTGAAATAGCAGTAAGAATTCTTAGGATGCAAAAAGAGATTTGAAGTATAGCAGAGTGGCAGTTGTATCAGTCCTTCAGATCCTAATAATCAAAAACAGGGCTGCATATTCAGTTCTTACCTTTGCTTGCTAAATTTGTATTTACAGCTATTACATACAAGGACATATGATTCATCTGCTAAAAGGTAACAGATCTTTCATTTGACAAAAGCAATTCATCAGATACTGACTGCTGGAAAATTCTTTTACTAACTGAATTTTTATTTCTGAAATGCAACTCTCATTCCCTGGGTTCCATATGATTAAACAAAGGAAAATATTTTCCAAACAACACCTGCAAAAAGTAGAACATTCTCCTGCAACACTTAAGTATTTCTGTGTAGATTATAAAACAGCTAAGTTTTTTTTTTCAATATAGTCTTACACCAGAAATCATATAACAATACTCTAGAACATTGACAGAATGAAATTTTATCTTTCTAAAGATAAAGGGAGAAGAAAAAAAAAAGAATTACTGAGTTCTAATTTCTTTCAAGCTTTCTGGCTTTGGCAGAATACTTGATTGTTTCTGTGTTTTGGTTGGTTAAATGAGGGCACTGCTTACCCATCTGTTGAGGATTATATTATGTCTACCAAAAGAGACTTTGTGTTATTTCCAGTTCCATAAGTTTCTTTAGAAATAGTTCTGCCTTTTTTTTAATTGCATTTTTTTATATAACTATTAGGATTTTAACATTTATTTTAAAGCAGCAGCAGAAAACGTAACAACAGGTCATGTAAATTTCTGCTTGTGTGCCATCAACTGCTATAATAAAGAATACAGCCAAGGGATCTTCTAGACAGATAAATCTGATTCTAAGATTTGCCTTATGATTAAATGTTATATTATATACAGTTTTAAAATTTAAGTACAGTCTATTGCCATAATTCTCTTCCCATTTTAGCACAGCATTAGTAAATAAAAATATATGGCCAAATATTTGTGTCTGGGCCTTCATGCTATCTGCATGTTTACAACTAATACAAAATATAGAAAGAAAACAAATATTTTAAATATATATAACGTATTGAAATAATTTAAATACATTTGTTGTTTTTTCTTTACAAACCATTTATTTAAAAAAAAGTTTATAAATACCTTTTAGCTTCCAGTGGAAGTATAAGGGGGAGAGTTGCCAAAGGTGAACTTATCAGAAAATAGAGTATTATAATCTAGATATTCAAACATATCTAAACAAACCATTAGTAAACATTTCTGTACGGCTGTTAAAGCATAATATTTAATAGATGAAAAAATCATCTTAAGTACTTAAATTTTACCTTTGTTATAGAAACCCATCTACTAACAATTCATTAAAAATAAAAACGGGAACACAGTGTATGAAACTCAGCTGCAGGATTCTGATGATCCTAAAAATAGGTTGCAGTGGCTACCCTTAAGTCATTCTATTCTTACATATTTAAAAATGTATTCACTAATTTCACAGTTTCCATTATACCAGTATTTTAATAATGTGCAGATATTTGCCTACTTGCTTTACAAGGCATTTGTTTACACAAAAATAACTGAAATATGTCTGCATTGGCTGACAACAGCATTTGCATTACAAAAAAAAAAGACATGGCTGTCAATTAAGTAGGACATTTTTCTTTGGATTCTCAAATACCTTTTTCTTTGGATTATCAACAAATATATATATATATATATAAAATCTTTTTCTTGTTCTCTTTTTATAATTTGCAAAGTCCAAGTAATTTTCCTTCAGGAAGAATCAACTGCCATCTTTATGCCTTTGATAATCGAGGTGAAATCAATATTAACCTCCAGCGTGTTACTTTAAGCACTATAAAGTAGAGTGGAAAATATCTCGTCAGAACGGGTTAAGTCGTATTCCTGTTCCTAATGGTGAAAAAGGATTCACTTTGGCCCACATCAAAGCATCGTTCAGTGAAATAGCAGATTTTCCATCTTCGAGGAAGAACACTGGACCCTGTATAGTGAAAATGTTTAGGGAGGGAAGAAAAAAGAAAACATACATTGCATAAACCTTACTACAAAAAAGAGTTTTTAATCTCAGTTTTATCTGAGGACATGAAAACCATATTTATCTTTATTATCTGCACTCAGGCAAAAATAGTATCCAGTCAAATTAAAGCTCTGATACTTAATTTAGAAAAATGTAATTATTAGGCAAACCGATTATGTTCTAAAATGTGTAGGCCCCAAACTTATTAATTCTTACCATTTTTAGCTTGATTTTATTATAATTGTTGTATTTTATATATGTTTGTCAACTATTCTGTAATTAAATCTACCCTGAATTAGAGTCTGAGATAAGCACATTTTAAAGGAAAAAACATGTTATGTCACTGTAATGTCATTATCTGTGGTGTTCCCCATGTTTCTCCATCTACAAAAAAAGGACATAGTGCGTCCATGAACTCTTTGAAAATATGGAGTCTACATGCATTCCACAGAATAATTTCAGGTGCTCACTATAAAAAGCATGAAGGACAAAGTATTAAATCTATTTGATGGAAAGAGAGCTCTTTGCTAATTCCTTCATTTGGCAAAATACTATCTCAAAGCTGCAAGGTTTTTAAGTGCCTTCTTACAGAGGCACACTCTCTGAATTTGCCACTGAAAACTTGTAAAATCAAGTAATTGGGATACTATACCTTAAAGCTAACTAAATACTGTGAGCTGACCTGCATGGCTAAAGCAGTGATCCCTAACATTCACTCATCCAGACAGAAGAATTTTGTAGATAAGCTGGTGATATCATATCTGCTGTTCTCATCAAGCGGATTCTAACAGTGGCAGCTTCCAGTATCTGTTAGCAATGTTGAAACATTTTCCTCTGAGCCACAGCAGAGACCACTGGTTTAACGTGCAAATATTGGCAATAACGTTTTTTGGACTTTAGGGGGCTCAGTTGTGAATCTTGCTTTCCTCAAAGCTCTTGCTAATATTTTGCGTCTTCAGATTCTGATGCAAAACTATGCTTCTCAATCCCAGAACAACCTTGTTATTTACTCTTTGGGCTGGCATCTTGCATTGGATAGAGGAAACAGACTCAGCTACATAAAAGACAGTGCCACACGGAGGCACTACTTGGAGAAAGGAGCCTTAGTACAGTGTTTTCAGGCCCTGCTAATTTTTTCTTTATGGAAATAATAACATATAGCAAAGGGGTGTTGTAAGGATTAGTATACATTCAATATATTCAAGTGATGAATATCTAGCCTTCTAATAACTGGTTTTAATCAATCAAGTATAAACTTTATTTATTGTTATGGAAATGCATACTATACTAACAACAGAATAACGGCAACATAGGATTGAAAATAAAACATCTCCTGTTTTCATTTAAAACGTGATGAGGTAATAAGCAATGACAGACAGAACATTTGGTAGAAGAATTTTGTCTTTCCCACAGAAGTTTAAGTTTTGAACTGGACAACCACACAATTATTTGATTGGATGATTCTTTATACGGCCTTTCTTATATAGCAGATCTCTGCACCTGTCCTCTTCTGCTACTGTGACAACAGGGAAGACATGCTTCCTTGCAAATGATGGACAAACCTTAGATTTATGGCAACCTTACATCTAGCTGTACCTGTATCCTTAGCCCTGTCAAACAAGAGATGTGAACATCTGAATGACTAGGAAGATTTGATCCAGTGACATAGTCTGGCCCAACCATTCCTTTCAGAGGCTCTTCTTGTATTCGTGTTGCCAATACTGAATACACCGTCTTCTGTGATTCAGATGGCGGGGTGCCTGGCAATTCATCAGTAGGCCTGTGAACAAAAGATACTTAGTTTTGAACTACACGTTCTAATTTGCATTCGGAATTAGACACACAGAGACCTCATTTTTTACATTCATATTCAGATTATATAAAGCAAATAAATATTGTATTAACAACTAGGACATTTAAATGCTAGTAATTTCACTCATAATTTTATATTTTGCACTTACTTGGCTAATTGAGTACAAGCTCTCCATGCATCTAACTCCTCAGAGAGCT